TAGGTACATTTAGAAGTAAAAATTTACAAGTTATATACCAACCAATTTTTATTCAATTCATTTCATTTTATTTGTTATTAAATTTCACTTTATTTATTATTAAATTGCTTGTCAATTAACATTACCATCCTAGTTCTGAGTATGATTGCATTTCGAAACTGAAAATGATTTCGGCGCCTAAATTGTAGAACTGGACATATATAAATTCACGTCAAAATATTATTTAAGCACTAAGATCCAGTTCAAGCTTTCGTTATTCAGTATCCACATTATGGTTTAAGACTGTTCTTTTTATTTAATATTAAAAAAAAAGTTTATAATTATGGAGTATGTCTAAAACTATCGAGAATATCATAAAAAATTGTATTTTCAAAATATATATTAAGTTTAGTGCAAATATTAAAAAAATTTTTTTTAATCTATATAAATTTCTAAAATATTTTATTTGTATATGCATGTACGTTTGTGTTATTATATTTATTTAAAAAATTATAAATATTTATAAAAATTGCTTAAAAATTAGTCGCTTTTTAAACATTTATTTATGTTTATGCGGATGAAAAATACAATAAAAGTATATAAGTAAATGAATTTTGATAATTATCGTTTAAACTGAATAATGCTTGATAAAGTCTCACGAAAGAAAGTAAATATATGATTGATTAATTGATATTAATCAATCTACGTAATCATAAATACATGAAAGAATGTAAATAAAAAATAAATTATGCTTGGATTTATTATTATATGACCTTATACTAACTTTCAACGTACATGTCTGGACTAACGCAGCTTTTCTGTACTTAAAAAGTTTGAAAAATCAATACGTGCACATTTATCCCTTCAACTTCATATCAAACACGTATCATACTTGTTAGAATAATTCTAGATTATTCTAGATTATTAGAGTATTTCTAAATTCATGAAAGTTTAAATTAAATAACAATAAATAAAGAGTAAAAACTAAAAGTAGAGTAGAACATATCAAACACATTTTAAATTGTAACACAATTAAATAAAATAAATTACAAATGAAGAAAAATAAAAACAAATAAAACAGTTTAAATTCAAAAAAAGTCTAAATTAAAATAAGAAAATCGAGTGTAAATCAATAAGTAAAGAATGTACATATAATATGTGTTCCAATCGATTACGTTATATATTCTTTATGTTGATAAGTCTTTCCCACCAGAGAGTATTATATTTAAGGGTTTAGACCACTCCTGAGATTTGAAAAAATTGAATTTTTTTACTTAAGCCGTTAGCTTTTAGTCACAGAAATGCGATGGAAGTAATTTTGTAGCGAAATTGTATCTCTATGTTGTTGTTAGAGCTGTCGATTATTACAAATTCTCTTGAAAAACTTTAAACGTATTTTTCCCAAAACAGCATTTTTAAAATTAGTATACAACATAACTCAATTTTCTCCGATTTACTTGAAATTTTTACAGGATATTCTTTAATACATTCTGTAAAGAAGTACGTAGGCTTTTTTTAAAATACTGAAAACTTTTTTATTAATATTTTATACGTGATTTTTAAGGCAAAAATGTAATTAATATTTTTATATGTAAATTTTGAGGCAAAAATGCAATTTTTTTTGTAAAATAGTTACCATTTTGAGAAAATCGATATTTTAAAAAATCTACGTACTTTTCTAATTTTTGACATGTAGATAATAAAAATTCTTTGCATTTTGTGTTTTTTTCAAGAAGAGTCAAACCGTGTGCCTAAAATCCTGTACACCGATTTGAAGTAGAAAAAACGTATTCGGCAAATGGATCAATGTGCCGCCATTTTAGACATAAGGCTAATAAAAAAATATTTTTTTAGTTTGTTATATATGTACACTAAAGCCAAACAGTTTTTAATCAGTTTTATTTACCCAAAAAAAATTCCCAAACAGATATTAGATACTAGAGATACAGATATTAGAGGGCCTCAGGGATGATCTAGTCCTTTAATAACATAGTAATTTCTATCTTTAAAATAAACTCTTATCTTTAAAATAAATTATCAAATTTTTTTTTTATTTTTAACTGATATTTAAATGCATATATCTACAGCTAATGTCAAACTATACATAATTATAAAATAGATATAAGATGTTTTAATACTCTTATCGATATAGTGTTTATAAAAACCGTAAAAAAGTATTATATTATAAAGTATTATATTTGCGAATAAGAACATATCAAATTCTGTATCTTCTTTCAGAAATAATTAACGTTCTTCAATTTTAAATCTTTAAGGACCAGAGTTTTCTAACTCATGGAAGACCTTGTTTCCGAAAAGTTCGGGATCGCTAAATTCAATTCTAGTCTCAGAATTCTAAAATTCAAATTTCAAAAATATATTTTGACTATTGTGAAACTCGATTTTAGGAAGAATATCCGAGTTTGAATGTAGCCTGAAAAATCGAATTTCAAAAGAATAGTAATCATCATGTAAAAGAAATCTTGTTTATAATCAGAGTTTAAAAGTCAGTATGAAAATCAGTATTAACTATTTACATATTATTGAGCTTCAAAGCAAAACTAAAAACTTAATGTTATTATACTTTGCAATAAAAAATTCCCTAAAATCGAGTTTTACAGTAATTTTTTAAAAAATCTATCCGTTATATTAAATCCATCTTTCAAATTTTTTATTTTCGATCTCAGATTCAAATAAAGCATTACGAAGTTATCCCATAAGCCATGTTTCATAAAAATTGAGTGAGCAATTTATAAAATAAAAGAGGGCTTTAAAAAGAGATCCAGAGGGTTAAAGAAGCTGTATCATCTAAAATTAATTTGACTTCAGAGTTTTCATCTCAATAAGCGTGTTATATTTACTTCATTTTAATTATTTAAAATTATCTTAAAAATTATTATGCGTAACATCTGTCAAATTTTTAAATTCATTTCTCGTACTAATTTTATTTAATAAGATATCAAAGAAACAGAGATCGCGCTTTGATGTTATACTACTTCAATATCAAAACTTACGCGACATCGAATCTTTTCCGTGTTCAGAGAACGGGAGAATAATTGCCTTCAATGATATTATCTCGAGGACACCTCGCAAGTGTGCCGCGATGAACATGAAAACGACCGACGAGCCGAAGATGATGGACGAGAGGTTACCGCCATGAGATCGACTATGAATTATGCAGACACTTCAAACCTCATGGGCTGCGTCGCGGTTAGACGAGACGACGGGAGGCTGTACGATGGAAAATGTTGTTAATGCGCAACGAGATGAGTGTTAAATCGTTGAGACGTCAAGTCACAAAACATGTTATCGTACAAAAATGGCTTTAAGAGTTACCGGTTACGTCACTCAAACTGCAAACTGATAAAAAAAACTGTACATGGCTCGCCGATTATTATCTGCTGTTAAATTTTTCTTGCAAATCGCTATATTTGTGGTATTAAAAGATTTGATATCAAAAGTTCAGAAAAGAAAAGTCTCATACTGTAATAATTATAAATTCGCAATAAACGTGTGATGTGATTAAAAAATCACAGCATTAAGAAAAACGTGTTGATGTTTAAAAAAAAATTGTCTAACTAACGTTATAATTCCATCGTGTATAGGTATAATTGTATTTGCTTCCTTTTTAGCTATAGGATGTTATTCAAGATTCGGTAATAAACTTTAACATGTTCAAATATCTTTTAACATGTTCAAATATTTCTCTCTCTCTCTTCGGCATTTCGGTTTACATTTTATTTTATTTAAGCAGTGTTAATTTACACTATTCGCGTTAAGAAAATACTTATTTACACAAACGTAAGCGGAATAATTTAGCAAGTAAAATAGTAATAAAATAATTTTCTTATTACTATTTATATCTGATAAAACATGCTCTTATAAGTTTCTATCATTTCACACAAATAATTAACTTTGTCAACATTTTCTTGATTTCATTTTCGACAGTAACATTCATTTCAATTCAAGGTAATTCAACGTATTCTCTAATTTGCTCCTCTAGAACATTAAATACAGTTCAAGCACGCGAATCCGTGTTTTTCGTTTACAATGCCCCAGAAAAGTCACGCCATGACTGCGGATTTTTTCACTAATTAACGTTTCTTAAATCTTCAGTGTATTATTAATGGTCTCTTAGTTCAAAGTTATTTTAACACTTTAATTTTGTTAATAACAGTAATTTAATGAAGTTGTTAAGAAATTATCCTGCAGTGTGATATTCACGATCTTTTTTACGAAGAATCTAAACGATCATTCAACGTACTCTCTATATGTTTACTCATTCATTTTCTGAACTCTCTAACATAGATTTTTATAATAACAACGGTATTTCATATAATGGATCAAATTGTAATATTTTTTGTTTTATATTGAAACAAATTATAGAAAAAAGTCAACATATTGTACATCTATCGTTTTGTGCGAGTGTATTAACTTCCTTTGTCGCGTATTGTTCTATTTTTATAAACATTATTGTGAAAAAGAAAATTTACTTTCGACGAGTTCAACTTTCGATGTATATAGATTTGGAAAAGTCTATTTTATGCCAATTGTGGGATTGCTGTTATCGCGAATGAACATATAAGTTCCTGTAGCGACGAAACTTTAATTCGTAACGTACATGGAGAGAATTTTTTCTTAGAGTTTACCCTGAAAATATGGTAATCGTGGGACAACATTGTATTTCAAAGAATTTTCTCTCATTCATTAATAAAACAACAATAAAATAAGTTTAATTAATTTTACTGAAGTGCATGGTAAAAATCTTTAAAATATTATATTGTATCATAACTGTCATATTTTTAGAGTAAAGTTCGAAGAGAAAATTCTTTCCGTGTTCCACTTTCAATCTTTACTAAAAATGCAATAGCTGCCTAGTTGAATATCATCGAAATGGAGCAATACATGAAAGACAAAAGAAGAAAGACAAAGAAGATGTAAGAAGTTTTTTTCTATGTTTTCCTTATTCTAATCGAAATCGAAGGATCACGAGGCGTTAATAAACTGCATAGAGAAGAGCTTACCGGTTTAGTGTCTACGTGATTCAACGATATCTACGGATATTGCGACGTCTCAGCGCACGATGTATCCCTTGTACGTATCCTCGAAAAAGAACAGTGATGTTCGCTGATAGGAAGGGCTGATCGTTTTGAAATTCAAAGTCCTCTTCAAACTCGAGCTCTTTCGCGCGCCCAACGAAGACGTGGACGCGACGATTGAAGAGACGACCAAGAAGCGAGGCTACCCAGGAGACTCGGCTGGCAGGAACTAACCCGATTACTCACGAGAAGCCGTCGTTCGTCCAAAAAACTGCGACCGCGAGATCGTCGCCGTTGACACGAGCTCTTTCACGACACATCGAACGTACGTACCGCCTGCGAGCTCACAGGTCACTGCTGTGGCAAGCTCGATCCCCTTCCGGCTCGCGCACCCTCGCGCGCAATTCGCGAGCGCATATTATTCTCACCTCGTCCTGCGGACATCACGACGACGCGTACAATTTTATGCCGCTACCGAGCTTACCGAGACTCGAGCGCGTTGCTTTTTGCGTATTGCATATTCGCGCGCTATCGATCGAGGCGTCTCGGTGGTGGCCGATAAAGGGCCGCAGCTGCATAGAGAAAGAGAGAGAGAGAGATATATATATGAGAGAGAGTACTCGGCCGCGTTTAACCCATTACCCCGTCCGGTTGCATTACCCGTTCGTGCTTAAAGTTTAAGCGTGGGCTTCGCAGCATCGGGATCGACGGGATACTTGTACACAACCACGTAAGGTTCGAATTTAATAGCAGCGTTTAAAATTTCAAGCCGGTCGGAGCAACAGGCCTGCTGAATCGATTAAGATCCGGATGTTGTTCTTTTCTTTTTTTTTTTGTTAGTGTTTTAATCTAAGAATGCGTTGGAACGATAAAATTGCTTATTTACGTAACATTGAGAGAGGAATGCGATTCGGTGTATTGTATGGTTTCTTTCCTCTTATTTACGTATCAATGTATCATCACGAGTATATGTATAAAAATAAGTTGAAACAAGTTGGTTATCGATGTAATCTTTACCGTAGTATAAATAGATACGACGCAATAAATCAATCTCTAGAGTCTCATTCCGAGTTTCCCGGAAGTTCCGTAGAAGCCGTTGTTTTACTATCCGAGTAATTTCCATTTGATTTTCTCATTGCGAGAAGTTAATCTAAAGTTTAATTACCATAGTAATTTAATATTACAAAAATTGACAATAGTTTACTTTGATTACTTTTGCCACAATTTATAATAATATTTTATGTAAAGAGAAAATTCGATTGAGTGACATTAAATATTCTAAATTCTGAGAACTTTTTTCATTTTAGAATGCAAAGTTCAAAGTTCGCCGTGAAAAAATATTATTCGTAAATTATAGATCACCGCGAAGAAGGAAATTGAACTTCAAATTAAAAAAACAATCATATGACAAAATTTTATATAATAAATAAAAACGTGAGTTTTCTTTTTACTATACTTATGTTTACGGTTTCACATATATTCTAAGCTTCCAAAAATTGTTAGATTTACGGCTTGAATAATTTATTTTGATAAAACTCTCGCTGAACGATCCACGAAATGACTAATCCAGATTAGCGGTCTGACGTGAGCAGAAAGCCAGATCTAATCGTACAACCCTATAATTCCCCTTCGACTATTTATTCCTCATTCGTTTCGCGTGTAAAATATACGACCTGACTGCGGAAAGTTCTCAACAGAAACGGGGCATGGCGTAACGTTGTTTTATCCCGTCTTGTCTCATTCGAAAGTAGACGTCGGCTCTAAAACGCTTAGACAGCGACCCAGTCTCATCGTTATACTCGACGTTCACCAGCTCGACAGTTACTCGCGAATTCTGGAAACTATTGGACGAGAAAGAAGAAGAGAAAGACTGAGAAAAATCGAGGGATTTTTCTCGCCCTTTTCCTTAGCATGCCCTAAGGACTACCAGACACATACCGGCGAACACAAAGTTTCCCTTATCTTTGGTACTTCAACCCGGCTACGTCGGTGCTCCCATCCGTTTTCCCTCTCTCTTCTTCTCCTCTCATCACTACGCTAGTACCCCTCGCTAATTAGTCTTGCATTCACGTCCTCGTAAGAAAAAGGGTCACCACTCGAGAGCGTACTACGTCACGGTTTAAACGTCAGCGCGCGATTCCTAAGTAGTCTTCATCTTTCATATCTCTCTCTTTCTCTCTCATTATTTTGCATTTATTACATAGCGTTCTACTCTTTTTTTTTACAGCACCGAGATCGCCATTTCGAGCTGATAGCGCGGATAGATTTTTTCTACAATGCGAAGCCCCGGTATTCTCCCTCGTATTCTCTTCGTCGACCGATAGAAGGGTGCGTGCTCGATCAAAGAGGACGAAACGAGAACGCACGCGGGTTTCTCCTGTCGCTCTCCAGCTTCCTCGTGATTTTCCTCTCTCTTCCTTTCGTTTTCGCTCCGCGTCCCTCGACCCGGCTTCCCCGTTGACCGTAATAAACAACAACAGTCGACGCAACCACCACGACACGTCGCGGATCGATTCGTCGGTGAAGAAGAAATATCGGAGCAAAGAAAAGGGAAAGGTGCGACGGCCGTTTCTACCTGACGGAAATACGTCAGGGAGAAAGGAAGTAGGGAGGTGAGGAAGTGGACGGATCGACGGAAGCGACTCGCAACAGGCTTCCCGTCTACCGACGCGAAAGATACGCCGGCGTTCGTTACCGTGCGTTCGTCGAGATCTCCGCGATTCTTCCGCCGAACTTTACCGTACGCGGCAAATTTCGCGTTCTCTTTTTAACTTAAGCGTGTAAAGAACAGCGCGTTTGCCAGCGTGTACGAATGCGGCGGAGGTACTAGATAGAGCGAGGCGAAAGCGACGGAGCGAGGTCTCTCTCCCCGAGACTGATCCTGCGTGTTGAACGACGAGCGGCCTCCGCCACCGCCGCCACCGCCAGCGTCGCCACCGCCACTCGTCCCCACCGCCGTAAGGCTCCTCATGGCCTCCACGTTCCCTCCTCCTTTCCAACCGCCCCCTGTTGTCCCCGCCGACGGTATCTCACGGCCCGCGAAAGCTCCCACCTCTTGTGTGTGCTTTTTTTCTTTCTTCCCTCTCTTTCGGTCTAACGTTCCGTCGCTTCCGTCTCTATCGTTCACGCCCGCACGAGTACGTATCTCTCGCCACTCTTTGGTATCTTCTACTCGGAGTTCCGTTCGCCACCTTCTGATCACATCTGCCACTATTAGCGCGATGCGGCGGTGATGGTATTATACGGATGAGATCGTGGCTCTAAGTACTGCTGCATGCGTTAACGCGAGATTGTTTGAGGTTTATGTCTTACGACAGAGAATTATTGCAAATTATGAAGAACAAACGTCAAACATCTTGAACGTTTATGTCGCGGAGTGATAAAACTTTGTGAAACATCGCAAACTCTTTTTATTACGAACGCATTAAATTTCAAGAAAGGGATTATCCTAAGTGTTCTTGTGTTCAACGATATTTCTATCTTTGATCGCGAATAGAATAGTAAAAAACCGATTAAAGCACTCGCCTTATTAAATTATTGATTTTAAGTTGTACCGACGTACTAAGTGTCATTGATTTGATCTACTATTGCATGTGGAACATGAAAATAGACAAATTAGAATTTTGTAGTTGAAATAACTAGAATTCTAATCTGTATGATCAAAATCTTCAAGTTCGTCCATTTTCAACTAGAAATTTTTCTCAGTATAGACGCGAGGAAATGTACACAAAATTGTATTTCCATTATCAAAAGTAAACGTCAAGAGTATTTCGCTTGGTTTTCATTTGCAATATTGAAACATGAACTTACTCAAAATTTCAACGGTTTCAAATTTATTTAAAGATATTGTTATGATAAAATAAAATTTATAAAATTAATAACGGTTTCAGTCAGGCAAATGTCAATATCTATTGAGAAAACTGTATTTGTAAAATTCTCATGTTTTATATTTTTACGATTTTAAAAAATAGCAACAGTCGGTCCACATTTTTCTTTTAGCATCATAGCTGAAAGGTCAAAATAACACATATGTACTAAATCTTCAATTTTCTACAACTGGAAGAGAAGTTATTTTTTGGACATTTTTACCACACACACAATACAAAGCACAGTATCTCTCTTGCAGAAGAAATATAACGCAGATTTCGGAGTACTCGACTAATTTAATTAATTCTCGCACCGTTATGCTACTCTTTCAGAATAGCACATTTGCATGGCGTCAGAAAAAACGCTATGTATATGTGTATGTATATATATTATCTCTAAATAAGTAAAATTTTAATTACATTTCTATCATATTATTTTCTTATGTGACATAAACAAAGTAGATATAAATAAAGCATTGAATCAAGTATTGAAACCAGTAAAAAAATACATATTAAAATAGGCAAATAGTTAACTTAAACAAACTGATATTTTGTTGTTTTATACAATAACCGAAATAAAAATCGACTAGAATAATTGTAGAATTATTTTCGATCTGGAATTATTTCCGATATTAAATAGCATTATAATGATAAAATCAAACGATATTGTGAAAAATAAAAGATTTAAATTTTATACATTAATAATTTAAACGAATTATTACATTTAAACAAATTATTAAATCATTAATGTACAAAATTAAATCTTTTTTCCCCTTATCACAATGTAAAGACTTATAATCGAAAATTATTAGAAAGAGTACCTCCTATAAATATAAATATTGTATATTATTGGAAATATCGATATTATTAATATCCATCAGACAACAATGTACATCTCACAAAGAAATTTAGTAGAACAAAATAAGATGCGTAAATTTAAAACTTTGCAATTAATCATAATTGTGTGCATTCATTTATGGATTTTTACAAATCTTTTTATTCCAAGAATCAAGAATTAAAGAATTAATTTAAATTACACAAAATCGGATATTGACAAATATACTAGTGACAAATAGATATTCTGTCAGAAAAATGCTAATTGGAGAACTTATTTTGCGAATTTTGCAGCAGAAAATTCAGTACGATTTCGCTTTAATGAAGATAAACGCGTGTAGTAAATCACTGTTGCAATATTGCAAACTTTATAAACGAAATAATGAACTTATAGATTTTAATAAACGCCATGCAGATAGAATAAATGTACAACTAACTTTCAAAAACTTTACTAGCGATTGATTTCATTTGCGTGAACATAGTTTCGGTAGATAAATCTCTGGCTGATTGCTCTGAACTTTTTATAAGAAAGTAATAATGTAGAGATGACAATGATAAGAATCTTATAAGTCTTATTGATGGTAGAATCAATTGCAATAACATGAAAACTAATCAACACGGAGTTTTCTTCAATTCTATAAAAGAACGTTCGATAATAGGTCAAATCTTAACAATAACCTTTTAAAAAAAAAAGAAAGCAAAAAAAACAAGTAAATAACAATTTTGAATAAATTTTAGTGATATATAAATTATATCAACAAATATATATGTGTATATATATATATATATATATATATATATGTGTGTGTGTAACATAAATTATGCCGAAAATTTTCATTAACTTTCCTTTTTCCTTTCGAAAATCGATCTCTAACGGAATATTAGTCTGAAGATAATAATCGTTGTTGCGATCACAGACGTAATAGATAGGTATATATTGTGCATTCCCTATTTTAACTGATCTTAGCATCGAGATCCTTTAGAAAGAAAATACAATGTTAAAGCGTATCTCTTTTTAAGTCGTTTCGGATGGGAAATAGAGGAAAAGCAATTTAACTTTATGTAATCCTCACTACTAATATTTGAGAGAGAAAGAGAGAAAATAATATGCCTCAAGCTGTTTCACTCTTTTTAAACTGCAGATAGTAACAACTTCATTGGAATGTGTAGTCTATACTTCTATAGTCACTCTAGATCATAGATCGCACGCACAATAATTATACTCGATGCTATATTTTGATGAGGTAGTTTGTCTCAAGAGTAATTTAAAAAATTATGTAAGTTTAAAAAAAATCTTCGGATTCTATATAAATTTTAAACAATGCTACAACGAGTACAGAAGGATTTTTAGGTACGTCTATATTCGTTTACATTTTATTTCTACACTTATATTTATTTATACGCGTTCTCTATGTAGATAAGTAATTTGCATTACGGACCTACTTTGCCGTGTCTAACATAACATCGCACACGGAAGCGACGTCGATTCAATTCAAGTCCCAAACGCGTCACGTTTCGTTACATAACATCAAAAGTCAAATTGTCTCGTGCAATGTCAATTCCCATGCAAATATATCTGTCTCGCTCTATCAAAAATCGATTATCAATATACACTACATCGGGTACGATTTCGTGCGGGAAGCCAAATAGTCATGCCACTCGTTCCGTATCGGGTCAACAGGGCTGAAAACGGATTCGAATGATAGAATTCGAGTCATCGTGTGATGTAATTAATATCGATTAATGCTCTGCTGCCGATTTTCGAACATAACATAGATTTACACCGTAATCGGACCGCAGCTGCGAAGGGTAACTGTCTATGGCAAACCGTCACCGCACGGTATTATCTGTCGTAAAACGGAAAAAGAATGTAAATTTAATTTTTTACGCGCGCGCGAGCGTGTGTAAGGAATACACGTCCAAACTTGTGGCTTTTGAGACAGACTTTTAAGAAGCAAGACGTTTTACTGTTCGTATATCATGACGTACATACATTAGATACGTCAGTGTCACAAAAAACTTTTCTTTTCCTACTAGTTTCATATTTCTTAAAATAAATTTAATACAAATGTATGTAACATAATTATTTTTGCTTCTTTGTTCAGTCATTGAAATAGTGAATTTATTTTAATCCAATTGTAAATCAAAAGAAAATAATCATCTATTTGTCATTCTTTTGATATTTCTTTGAAGTGCAATAATAATCTCGCGCGCGGCGATGAGATTTAAATCGATAAGTAGAATTAATCAACAAATATATAAGTCATAAAAGATTAAAATAAAATAGAAGTGTATTAAATTTATTTAATAAAAAATATTGATTATTATTTGTTGCTGTATTTATTTTATCACTTAAAAAAAGTACAATATATTTCTCTTACTTATTCTTGCGATATAAAATTCTGTTTCTTTTTCTCGTTGTTTCGTATAATATTTAATCCGGAAGAAAAGCCGAGCATAAACTTCAAGTTGTAAACTTCAAGTTGTAAACTAAAGAATAAAATACTTAAATATTAAATAAATATTAGGTGTTGGAATTAATTCGTAGCGTTTTACAAGTGATGGGAAGTACTTTCATTAATGTATTTTTTAATGCTCATGTGAAATAAATAACATTCTTTCATTAAAAAACGCTACGAATTAATTCCAACACCTAATACTTAAAAAAAAATAAAATAAAATAATGTAACACACATCTAAATATTATAATAATATTAAATTTTATAAAAATTTATATTAACTAATTTATTTTAAATAATAATATCAAGAAGAAAACAAATTTGAAGAAAATATTCTAAAATTGTCAATATTTTATATCTCTGTTATTTTGTATTTTTATGTTTCAATTTTACTAATACACGTACACACATTCAATACGTTAATTAGCTATAACTAATGTATAATTAAATAATTTAATAAATTATTAATATGTATATTTTTATGATATTCTCAGAAACTATTGTATTTTTCTTGAAAATCTTATAGAGTAGGAACTTTACTTAATAAAAAGTGTAAGGGGGTAATTTTATAAGATTTACAGATAGATTTTTCTTTTTCAAATACCATTTCTTATCATTTTCTTTGTCAAATTTACTTAATATATCTATAACCTAAAATATTTCTCACTACTTTATTTATTAATTGCAAATTTATTTTATAAACTTCAGAAAAGTAATGTATTTTTTGTAATTAAATGTATTTATAATTTTTATCATTTTGTTACACACACACAATACATACGCACGCGTGCACGCACGCAGAGGGAGAGAGAGAGAGAGAGAGAGAGAGAGAGAGAGAGAGAGAGAGAGAGATGTGTAAAAAATGACAAGTAATTATTCTTTTGTAATAAGATACCATAAATTAAATGTACATAGTTTCCATTCATTCGCTAAAATTTATATTACATAAATGTGTATAGTACAAGATTCTAAAATGCATAATAAATATTAGTGAACATTATATACAATGCCTTAAATATTAAAACTAATCTATCCTAGTTCATGCATTATTACCTACATGGCAATAAATCCACGAAGTGTTACATTTATAAAATTTTCAGCTTCTTAATTTAATACATATAATTTATTATATTATACATACGTAGAGGAAGCCCGAGCAGTGCGGACGTGTTAAGATTGAGAAGAAAAAATGATACAATTAAAATTGAGATCAGAATTTTTATTCTCATAAATCTCTTAAAGAACTTAACTTTGAAATAAAATAAAAATAATTAAAAAACTTGAACATTAATATATCGTTTTAGTTCAAACATAAAAAAAGAGAAACTATCCTTTGCCTGACCCCTCCTGGACAAGGCGAATGGATCATTCGATGCAATGCAAATGAAATTTTAAAAATTAGAATTAGTCTTGGCAATCGTCACAAAAGTAGCTATCAAATCTTCTATAAGCAGTGTAGCCTTTATGGCCCATTTGGTGCAACGACTGCACTGGATCAGTCATAAACACATCATCATACTGCATTGTGGTAAAGACTAAATAAAAATATAAACAAACACGTGTACACTCGAAAGGTCGTTTGTCCCTTCCCAGTATTTTCATTGTAATCGTATACCGAGTAAAGAGGATGGATCATCCGTTTGTCCTCACCCGTTTTGCCCAAAGGATCTACCTGGCGCGAATTTAGAAAAGTTAGAATAAGTTAAAGCACTAAATGAAATATTTTAATCTCGAATATAAAAGACACAAAATTCTTATAAAAAATTATTCACACTGGTTAAGAAACAATTACAGATAATAATTAAGCTACCTAAGGAAAAATCGCAAAAACACTTAATTTTCTATATGTCTCTATTAAGCACAAACAAACGCAATCATATGTCGTTTCATACTTTTCATATCGTTGCTGATCAGTCATTCCTTCAACTGCTAGATATTCATAGCGCAATCTCAGGTAGATAAGCGAAAATAAAAGATATTCGCCTTTACCCAGGACGTCCATTTTGCCCAGGCTTCCCCTACATTTACCTATATTTTTCGCAGATGCATTACCTTTTAAATTAAAAAAAAAAGCAATTTTTGACTCACCAATACGACGCGCAGCGGCAAAGTATCAATACGAGCCACGATGAACTGCAAAGACAAATATATTCAAAATATAGCAATGCCCAAAGTAATTCATATTATTTAATTAATATAATATTACAATATAATTCATAATACTTCAAAAAAATAAATGTTGCGTACATATAAAAATAATTATAAACTGTCCATTCAGTGAAAACAAATAAAATAATAAATAAATAAACTATTCTGTTGCCTCGCCCAATATCTTCTAGGCCTCTTCCTCTTTTTTCTCGTTTTTCCTCATTCTCACAGTATTTCACAAAGTATTTCTCGTTTGCAAAAAAATTAATTATAAGGAATACCAGGGCTCTCTCTCTCGTTGACACATATCCCGTTTATGTATTTATGACAAAAGAAACAATGGTAATTACCGCAAAGTATGTCTTTTGTAATATAAATACTTTTTTCTAAGATTCATTTCAATCAAATATTACAATGAAGAAAGAGAAAGTCTGATTCAAAAGGTTTCAAGTAAATGTTTGAGCGTTTAATGATAATTTCGTATTAATATTTTTCTTGCGAAATCTAAGTAACGTATTATTAGTTAAAAGAAAAGTGCCTGTTATTATACGAATATAGAATTTATCATAGAAGCAAATTACACCATGATATGTGTTAATTTTATTTCTTCTATCGAAGCAATAAGTTGATTGCAATGCAACATGTTTCGTTACTTACTACAAACAAACTAGTGTGTAGAACCATTTCTGGCATAAAAATATAGAGAAAAATTCTCTATCACATTAATACATTTTATTTCATAATAATAAATTGTTTAAAAAATCTAATGTCGAAATTGTAAAAGCTGTGTCAACAAATCCCGATCTTCCCTAATCACGCGTGTATTAATCACCAAAATATTTCAACCATACGATACGATATAAATTAAAATAACTTATCTAAAAATACATAATTAAGATATAGTATTATTAAGATATATTATTACGTAATATATATCAAATGATTAAAATCCAAACAAATACATATTAAAAGGATATATATATATATATTAATCAAGATACACTTCTGTTTTATTATTTAAATTATTCGATATGATCAAACATTTATTGTATCGAATTTTATTCCAGAAAATGTTAGGCAGAATATACGACAAAAAATTTAAATAAAACGCGATATCAAATCCATCATTTAACCTCTACCTAAGTGCTCGCATGCGGGATCGAATTGACCCAACATATGAATAAATGAAAATAGCACTAAAAAAATATTTTTCAATGCAAATTTTTTTTAACTTCTAATACTTAAAAATTATTTTATGTTTAAAACATATTTCAGTCCATAATTATTTACAAATAAAAATAAAAATTTTGTTCACATAAAATATATATAAGTTAAAATATAGGTCAAATAGACCTTCACTCACCTTCATATGTGAGTATTTTATACGAATTAAAAAATATCGCTTTCATAAATATATCGTAACAAAAAAAAATAATTTCTTAAATTTCTAAAAACAAATCCTATCTTTTACCGCTTCAATATCTGCTCCGAATGATAAAATTACGCTGAAATATCTACTTTGACAAGTACACTGTTAAATCTGTAGCGTCAAATTTAACCTAATTTGAGTCACTAATCTTACTCAATATATCAATATTTTATACTAAAACAATAGAGTTAAATTGTTTTAAATTGTTTAACTCCATTGTTTCAGTATAAAATACAATAATTAAGTAGAAGTATTGTATATATTAATATATATACATACATGTATGTGTAGCTGCGTCAATTTATTTATGAGTCGTTAATCGAGATTAGCACCACTCTACCTTTCCATAAAAGACTTGCCAAGCGGATAGTGAGACGTGTTTGAGTAAAATAGCACGCAGCATGTAGCAAAAACAAAGCGTTGAATTATTTACATCGTACATTTTGAAATTATGTATATCGTATATTTTGAAATATTTAGTACCTACATTGTAATGCTGCGGTCTACTTGATACTACAAATGCTTCGAAGTATTTTTTTATTAATCAATTAGTAAAATTCTTTTTTTCGACTGATCAATTAAACGCTTCGAAGTATTTGTACTATCAAATGGATCGCAATAAAAACGAATACGTTTTTATGTAGAATATCCTGTTTCGTTTTAAAATGAGATATATATATTTATAATATATATTTAACAGATTATTTTATGCTTTGTTTTATATTGTAATTGTATTTGTTAGCGATTGAGAATGATCAATTTCAAATTATCTTGAAAGTCTAAAGTCTAATATTCATATATATTATATTTAACAATAAATAATATTAATATAGTGAACACGGTTGCGACCTTTCGATCAATGTTCCACTGATCAATGATTCTCTTGATCTTTCTAAAGAAAAGATTATCATTCCGGAAATTGCTATACTCTCTTGCCAGAGATCGAATGTTATTATTAAAAGTGCTGTTTTGTAGTGCGTCATCTCATCAGATCCTCCTATCGGAAATATCTTTCTCAAACAGCGAAGGAAAATCATTCACTTAAAAAATATAAGATCAAAATTTTTGAATATATTTGAGAACCGGAGATTAGATCAAAAAGCTGAAACCTTCGACCAAAACTGAAGAGTAATCGCAGTAAGAAGATGAATTTTGCAATGAGTAACAGATTAAAGTTTCTTTAAGTTATATAAATTTGCCTGTTTTTAATTTATTTTTTAATTTATTTAATTTTATATAAATTTGTCTGATTTAAATGATTTACAATGTTCATTCGTTATTAATTCGTTTCTAACAATTAATGAATATATATATATATATACTGTACTTTTTAAAATAAATTCAACATAATTGTACTACATAATTATTTTTTATCATAATTTTATATGTAAATATAAGATTTCTCTTTACAGTTATTATCGAATTTCGAAAGTGAAACATGAATAAATGATCGCAAATGATTGTTCTTATCAGCTTTTTAATAATTTTCTTTTAAATGCGATGATAAACTCACGATGATATAAAACATGAGTTAATAAATAACTTTTAATAATTAATTATCATTTGTTTTTTATATAAAATATAAAATTATGTTTTTGTCACAAACAATATATTATTTGCACACACATACCTATTGTTTGCGAACCAACAAAAGTTCCTGTTGAACGCGGATTAGTTTTCATGAATGTCTGAATTTTATCAAAAATGCACACGGATTTGATGCTGATATGAAAAGTTTAACATAACTGATACTGCTTTGTATCGAGTGAATAGAAGAGAAGGAGAAAGAGGGGGAGAGTGAAAGGGAGTAAGAACTAGAAAAAATACAATCGCACACACAGAATATCTCGACTAAAAGGAGGAAATATTAAAGTAAAACACTGTTCATGTATCAACGAAAAACAAAAATAAAAAATTAAAAGAGAAAAAGATTATGAATTTATTATGAATTTTGGAGCAATAAAAAATAAAAATATTATAATATGTGAAAATTTGATAATATATAAAGAAATAAGATTTAAAGCATAGAAAAATGAAAAGAAGAGTCATACAGCATTAAATGAAAAATTGATATTATTCTATCGTTATAATATTATAATATAAAGCAAAACATATATATTTAAATTTTACAATATTATAATAAATTTAGACATAGTTATAAAAAAAATGTTATAGAAACTGTCTAATAATAAGAAGCATTCATTCTATCTAATCCAATTTATATTTTATACATAAAAAATAATAATCGATAATTTGACGAAAATTGAATACGATAATTGCCAATTTATGGAGCAAGAAATATTTTCTTATTATATCTATTTAATGTTATATTATATATCTAATATTGTACTATATACATAAAAAACAAAATGACTTGGATTTTACATAATAATGATTACACATTAAACAATAGTATACGTGATAATCATTACTATATTTTATAATAGAGTATATAAACGAATAACTATTCATAAAGAAGCAAAATTTAAGTCGATTAGCTATCACGTACTGAAACATTTGAAATTTTCTACTTTCAATTAAAAACTGTCACAGGCTAGCTTTAAATTGCTTCTGCGTCAATATGATGCAACCTTGCATCTGTCGCAACGTGAATCTGTCTATCCATAACTCGCTTGCCAAAAAATTGGAACGCATATCGTTCTTTCCGAGTAGCCTTTTAATTTTCCGCATCGGCAATTGTCGATCGTATGATAGAAAAGTAGATGGTTCACGTTATGTCATGCGTGAATTTGTAGTGCGCGAGAATGCAACATATCATTGCAAGGCTCTTCTTTGACATACTCTTATATGACATCAATTTGCTTGTGTGCGGAAATAAAACCTATAGCAATTGCTACGTGACATTCAACGAATAAAACATTGAGTTATATCACCGCATCTATGTATGAGATAACATATAAGCAACGTAATTGTTCGTAACTTTGTAATATTGCTATTCGTGTCATGATATCGGGCGTCGAAATTCTTTAAAGCGGCAAATAATCCATACCAATTGGATAAAAAGCAACGTTTTAATTGGAATATTGTTAACGCTATTAACAGATCAACCAAATAAAATTAACAAAATGCGATTTTTCCCGTTGTTAGGAAAATTATTCTCTTGTTTTTTCATGCTAAATATTTTATAAAATATTATTTAATTGACGATAATTCATTTTTTTTATTAAAGATTTGACAATTTTCTATTTAGTACAGAAAAAATATTATATATATTGCGTTTATTTGTCTAGACAAATACGAAGTTTCTCAAATATCACACCGACAATGAGAGAAAAAAAATAGTAGTGGCAACTATAAAGTACAACTCTAAAATTTAAATATACTTCCAATTAGTTTTAAAAAGTAATAAGAACTAAAGTAGTATCGAATACAATAAAAATATAATATTCGGTACTACTTTATAAATTATTAGAGTTGTTAATTTAGTAGATGTCAAACTATTTTTCTCTGAGAATGCAATCTCTTGCATCGATTTCAATGAGTACTTCTTTTAAGTAATGTAGCTATCGCAACACATTTTTGCGATGACTATATT